GACTGGCGCTTCAAAATCAGATGCACACGCCTTCTTCGTGCACTCGTGTACCGTACCTGACTACAAACTGCTACTCTACTCTACACAGTTGGAAATATACAAAGGCGACCCGGACGGGTGCTCACGTGAGCTTTGGCTTGACGGCGCTGCCCTTCCGGCGGAAACTCTCGTACGCCAAATCGGTGCCGTAGGCCCAGTCGCACCACGTGAAGACGCTCGCAAAGTTGCCCGAGTGCAGGAAGTGGTGAAAGTCATGGTGCTCAGGGCCGGCGTACCACGGGAGGACGCTGGCGAGCCCCCAGGCGTGGTCGTATCCGGAGTGGATATCGATGGCCTCCCAGTTGCGGAACAGCTGCCACACGCACAGCGTGTACAGGTGCGGGCCGAGCATGAGCGGGCCGGCAAACGTCGGGAGGGCCTGCAGCACGACCTCCACCGGGTGCGCGTACGCGGCGACGACGGCGAACGGTGCGTCGTACTCGTGGTGCACGCTGTGCACGCGCGTGTACAGCCACGGCAGGTGCAGGGCGCGGTGGACCCAGTAGTTGAGAAAGTCCTCGACGAGGAAGAAGTAGGCGACCTGCAGCAGGACGACGCGCGGCGAGGGGAACGGGGCGTCGCGCGAGATGCCGACGCGCTCGATGAAGAGGCCGCCGGCCGCGAGCAGCGGGAGCACGACGGTGGCGAACGAGCGCAGCATGGCCGCGGCCGCGGCGAAGACGGCGCGGCGCGGGGCGTACTTGCCCGGCTGGATCTTGCGGAACGGCGTGGAGCGCGCGCGCAGGGCGTCCAGCAGCACGAACGGGGCGCAGCCCAGGAAGTAGCCCGCCAGCTGCGACGCGAAGCAGCCGACGACGAACATCGGGTAGGCGCGCGTGTGGCGGCACAGCAGGTCCCAGTACGGCGGCACGTACGGCGTTAGCGCGGCCGTCAGCACGAGGCAGATCTCGGTGAGCATGGCGCGCCGGGACCGGGAGGTCGCGGCGGGGCGGCGGGGGGGAGGCGCGGGAGGCGGGTGGGGGGTGGGGAGGGAGGTGTGTGCTCGAGCGGCGATGGCGCTTGTTGATGTCAACAAGCTTGTCAACAAGCGCAAGCCCAGACATGAGGGCTTGACTTGTGAGAACTTGTGAGTGTGGCGTTGTTTCTTCGGATGGGCCACGAATTACAGTGTTGAGGTTACAGTACAGTGTACTGTAATTCGTGTACTGTACTGAGTACAGTACTGAGTACAGTACATCGGAGTCTGGCTGTAAAGCTGTAATGACCATGGCCATATCATAGGCAATCAACTTTTTTTAATCGCCTGCGCTCCAACTCGTACCTCCCCCCTCCCTCCCTTTCGCGCCACCCGCATCCCGCCCGTTGGCGATCTGTCCTTCCCCCTCACATCCGTCTCTCCCTCCCTCCCTCCCTCCCTCCCTCCCTCCCGTCCCTCCCTCCCTCCCTCCCCCTCCCTCCCCTTCACCAGCCGCCCGCCATGTCTCTCGTCGAGGAGTGGTGGAAGTCGATGCCGCCGGTGACGCGGTCATACATCTGCCTGTCGGTGCTGACAACGGGCGCGGTGGCGCTGGAGCTGATCACGCCGTTCAAGCTGTACCTCAACTGGCTGCTGATCGTGCGCAAGGGGCACGTGTGGCGGCTGGTGACGACGTTTCTGTTCTTCGGGGACTTCAGCCTGGACTTTCTCTTCCACATGTTCTTCCTGTACCGGTACTGCAAGATGCTAGAGACCAACTCGTTCCGGGGGCGCACGGCCGACTTTCTGTACATGCTTCTGTTCGGCGCGGGGCTGCTGGTCGTGGTGTCGCCGCTGACGCCGGTCAACTTCCTCGGCCCGAGCCTGACCTTCATGATGGTGTACGTGTGGGGGCGGCGCAACGCGCACCAGATCGTGTCGTTCCTGGGGCTCGTCTCGTTCCGCGCGCCGTACCTGCCGTGGGTGCTGCTGCTCTTCTCGTTTGTGCTCGGCTCGTCCCCGGAGATGGACTTGCTGGGCATCCTCGCAGGGCACGTCTACTACTTTATGGCCGACGTTTACCCCGCCATGACGCACGTGGCGCTGCTCAAGACGCCCCGCGTGCTGCAGCTGCTCGTCGGGAACAATGACGACTATGATCGCCCGTACGATGGCTTTGAAGACGCGCCGCCGCCGCCGCCGCAGCAGCAGCAGCAGCAGCAGCCCAACGGCGTGGACGGTAACGGCGCGCAGAATGGCGGTGCCGCGGGTTGGGGACAAGGGCGCATGCTTGATGGCGGGGCGCAGCAATAACGATGGCGAGAAGGGGGTGTGCGTGTTGAGGTTGACTATTTGTATATAGGTTGCGCGCTTTATTGTAACAACTACAGGCAATGTTTCGCTGGCGGAGACTCTTTGCCGTCCTTTTTTTTTCCTTTTTTTCCTTTTTTTTTCCTTTTTTTCCTTTTTTTGAGATAATGTTGCGTTTAGGGGGGCGATCAGGTGCATTTGGTGGCAACAGACGGGTGAAATCGGCAAAGTTGCAGCGAACAAGGGGTGACGGTGGTAACTTTGCAAGAGGTACCCATCCGATAGCGGTTTATTTGTAAGGATCACTATGGTGACCATATCAAGTCTGAGGTGACAGGAAAGGAATTTGTAGGTAAAGATGGGGCGTCAACAGTTGAAAATCGTGGACAGTGCAATAAAATGTACTAACGGGTGACTTTGGATACTTTTTCCTTTTTTTCCTTTTTTTTCTTCTTGTTTAGAGCTTGTTTACAAAGTAAGTCTCTCGCAAGTCACAAAACAGCGGCACGACGTAATTTGCCTAACCTGGCAACACCCCCCCCCCCCCATTCCCTTCCTCCCCTCCACGCCATCATCCGAGCAATCGAAAAGCTGCCTTCACCCTAAGAGCGCCGAAGCGTGCAGCCCAGTCGGCGTCAGCCCGACCTGTACTGGGTGCTCTTCACGTGCCTCCGTGCCAAGTTGCCAAGGCTGCCACTGGCACTGCCGCCGTCCTCCTCCCTATCCCTGTCCTCGCTGGAGCTGACGGAGCTGCCCTCCGGAGCGAAGAGCCTTCTCCGCCAGCCGAGGCCGGCAAACGAGTTGTGCTCGCGCGCAAGGTCGGCCCACGACGCGCGCTGCGGCGAGTAGGCGTAACCTCTATTAGCCAGGCCGGGGCTGCTGGTGCGGCCCTTGGGGCGGTCCGGGTCCGGGCTTGCGAACGCGACGGTGCGCGCGCGGCGGTCCGACTGCTGCTGCGGCGGCGGCGGCGACGGGGACGCGGGCACGGTGCGCGGGCGGCTGCGGCGGCGCGGCGCCTCGGGCGCGGAGG